TGTGTGTGTGTGTGTGTGTGTGTGTGTGTGTGTGTGTGTGTGTGTGTGTACACACGTAATCACTGTTATCAGTGCTATCTACCAGAGGACAGGTGAGAGCAGAAAGAACACACACACACACTGAGAACATCTGCCTGGTGTTGTCACAGTTAGCCTGCTCTCCACTTCTTCTTCATCACCCTCGTCTTCTTTTTCTTTGTTGTCCTACTCCAGTTTCTACTTTCTTCCCGCTCTTTCTCTTTCTTATGGTCTTTGTCAGCAAACAACATAATCTTCTTCCTGTTTTTACTTTACTGAGTCAACTGAAACTATCCGAACTGAATCCAAAAATCCTAGCACCAGCATTTATTTTCCCGAAACATAAAATATCTGAGGAGAATATTGTGTCTAGTGGTGTACTGGCCGTCTGGCATTCACCTTTCTCCCTCTGGTCTCATCAGTCAACCTTGCATTCATTCATAGCGTCAATCATCAAATCATTTACTAAGAAAAGTCTAAGGCCTCATTCAAATCCCACCTGAACTGCAGCATCTTACTTTCATATAAGTGTGAGATGCTGTTGCAGTGAACAAATCTATGCAAAGAAGTTTCACAGTGAAATGTGGAAACCAGATCAGCCAATCAATTTCCCCTAGCTAGCTAGTGACAGTGAAGTGGGTGGTCTGAGTCGTATATCATTGTGTGATTTATGTGTTAGGCTTGAGCAGATGAGGTTGTGCAAATTGGGGTTCAATTCATCAATTAGTTTAGCAGCTGGGAGTAAAATTGTAAGAAATTTGTTTCGGGTGGAGACACTAAGCATATTGGAGAAACAGATGGCTCTTTAAGGCAAGCACTGTTTAAATGATGCTCTCTCTACGTATGGTGGAGTGATCGTCTGTGTGGTCGGTGGTGAAACTTCACCTCTGTGTTGAAGTCGGGTATGACCTGCTGGCAGCTCAAAAGAGAGTCACGGTCACTGCAGTGGTGTTTGTCTCATCTTTAAAGTACAGATACTCCAAAGTATCGAGCCTCGTGATGAAGATGTACTTCCAACCAAAGATAAAGCCAAACTTTTTTCCTCCTCTATTCTCAGCTGCCTGTCCTGTCCAGTCGTGCGGTGCAGCTGGGATCTCTCTACGTCCGAGGACTGAGCAACCTGCTGGGTGCGAACTGTGCCAGCGGCTGCCCGCTGCCCATCGCTGCCCTTATGCCTTGGCACAGCTTCGATGGACGGCTGTTCCACTCAAAGTACCTGCTGGCACATAGCGGCACAGAGAAGACTGTATTGCTGGACAGCGATGTGAGTGGAGACAGAAAAACAGAAAGGGGAATGAGTTTATGTTTGTGTGCGTGTGTGTGTTTGTGTGTTGTTTGTGGCATGATTTTGAGGAAAGAAAAAAAGTTGTCTTCTGTTGCAACTGCTTGTATGATTTTCTGTATTATTTTTCCAATGAACAGAATGATTGAGACAAGACTGACCAAAGTGTGTTATCGTTTGCCTTTCTCTCCAGCCGTCCTGTTTGTCTCTGTTTCTTCGCCTGAGAGAGAAACTTACAGAAACCTGCAGGAAGCGAGGCAGAGTCCTGCAGTCCAGACCCTATGCACCAGAACAAGGTTATAGAATCACACCAGGACCCAGATACAGAGAAAGACACGCAGGTGAGACGTAATTCTGACTGACATGCCTTTACCTACAACTTCGGCCATCTGCCTTTCACAGATTGTTTTCAGTGCAAGTGAACACTTTCTTTTCACTTGTGACCGGTAGGCATTGGACAATATGTAACTTTCATGTCACAATTATACTGTTTAAGATAATTGTGATTCACAATATTCTCCAGATAACTATCAAAATAGGCATAGAACTCTGAAAATTGCACTAGAACAGTGATTCTGAACTGGTGGGTCTCGACCCATCAGTGGGTCGCGGGCCTTTGCCTGAAGACAAAAAAGAAACTGTGCTTTTACTTTGAAGGGGATTTTTTATGCAGCGGAGTTATTCACACTCCTTAACATTATTTGGCGTTAATGCCTTGTAATGCTAAAAGACACCCACCATTTCACAGTATAGAACAACACCCACAAAGTTTGTTTTCATATGTTAATTGCGCGAAATGCAAGTATGACACTGACTACATGTGGATTTTCTTACATTGAGGACAAAAGAGGGCAAAAACCTCAGTGTGTTTTGTGACGGGAACAATGTTTCTGCACAAGAGAGCTCCCTACTACTATGACTGCAGAGGACATTTTCAGCTCAGGTTCAAACTGCACCATCTTGTCATTAAATTAATTTGAGAAGTTGAAAATTTGGGTCGCGGCTTGTCATTAAGGGATGATGGTGGGTCCCGCAGCCAGACCAGTTGAGAACCACTGCACTAGAACATACTGGAACAACTTAACCTTGTTAAACTAAATAGTTAGGGAATTATTTTTGTAGTGGATCACAGATATTTGAACTGAAATGAGCACGTTCTGTTGTTTTGATTAATGTTAGTGTTTTAAAAGGGATTTAATGCCTTACATGTTTTCTCCTCCTTTCCTCTGACTCAACTCTGTCGGTGAATGTTGGTTCTGTGTTGTTTCGTGTAACATAATTACGTTGCTATTTTCACCAGAACTCTTTGGAAAAAGAGATTTTGGTGTTGTGACCATCATGGTTAAATAAAGGTCAGAGAGAGAAAAACGTTTTGACCTGAATTAAGAAATGTTATGGTGTTTCTAGGGTGGCCTGGTGGTTAAGATGCATACCATATAACCACAAGGCCTTGGTGCAAATCTGGCTGGGGACTGTTGTGGCATCACATCCCTCTTTGTCTTCCTGTGTTTCCTTTTCTTATTGTAAAGTTTACAATAAATAAGAAAAAATGCCCCCCAAAACATTATAAAAGTGATGTTTTGATGGCTGTATTATTTGTAAGGCTTTATGTCTTTATGTCTAATCGCTGTTGAAAGTACAGAGACGTAAAAGGGCCTCCAGTGATCCGTGTGGTAGAAACACACAGTGGCTCACATGAAAAACTGATGAAAATACTCCTGGAGCCAAACAGAGCAGAAGCATTTTAATCTGACAGTTCATCTGTGGTTGTAGTTCTCTGGTGCCCCTCACCGAACCACATTACCCAGAGGGCCTCGCTGTAACGAGCTCCATGTGTGCTGCAACCTTAATGCATACCAGCGTGCGCGCGTACACACACACACGTGCACGCTTGGATCCGAGACTTTGCCTAGTCAGTGCACCAGTAATAGTAGGTTTCTGTTTATAGGCTGAGAGAGCTCTATTTTAAGACACACAACAAGGCTGACTGATTACAGACCTCTCTCTTCTGTCTCTCCCCTTCCCCTCAGTCGTTCCCCTCTGTCTAACTCCTCATCCTTTTCTTTTTCTTTTACTGTTTTCTTCATCCTCTCTTTTCCCCATTGCTCACTGTTGTTCTCTTTCTGGTGCTGCATTCAGAGCCTTAACATTCTCCAGACGCCTTTCCATCTAATTATACACAGATTTTCAAACATATTCACCCTCTTAAACACCTACAACTTGAATTGTGATAAGGCCTTTACACACCAGGGGCGTGACGACGTGAAACAACATGAAAATTTCTAAATACTTGGCTGTTCATATATCATCTATGCTATTCATAACGGCAACAATGCAAATTCGTGACAGCACTTTTTCAATAAAATGTTTGAAGAGCTTCACGCCGACAAAGGATCAACTACTGGTAGTCTAAGCTATTGTTAGCTCTTCATAGAGTTTTGTTTTAGGGAAATGCTCTGAATGAATTTGATGCCCCTCTGGTAAACAGTTACGCAGTGTATATGTCTAGGGCTTTTATTGTGAAAGGTAAGAACTGAAGGAGTGGATCCAGTATGCGCTGCCTTTGTCAAGATTGAAACGAGTAATGAAGTTTGCTGTCATATCGGACCAAGGAGCCTCTGGGATGTTATACAATGTAGTGTACGCACATTGGTTGATTGATTGGTTGATTTGGTTGATGCCTCTTTTTTTGCCACGTAAGATTTGTGTTCTGTGTGAAAGAACAAAACAGCAGTTCGAAAAGATCAATTGACATGTAAATTAATCGCATGAAGAAAAAACCTGCCCCCGGTGTGTAAAGGCCTTGAATGTGGCCTGTCGGTATATGATGCTCTCAGACTTTAGGTCAAGTTGAGCTTCGTGTTGGTTCAGGACTCGTCCTGCTCAGTGTTCAATCTCAGAAGACGACTCAGCAGAAGCTTATGAAACGTGAACCCATAGTTTCTGTTCAGCCCTGTGACTAAACCTTTAGTAAAGCTTTAGCGACCGACTTTCTGCGTGCCATGTTGGTCCAGAGTCTCCCAGAATTGCGCCGAACTGTCTGCGTTTTGCCCAAGTCAACCCTCGTTGGTCTCATGAGGATGTTTCTGGTTTTACAGATGGAAGGCTATACACTCTTTCTACCTCGGTGTTTCATTTCTGCCAGACACAGACACCAATCATTACTACAGAACTGTGGGGATATGGAGTGTGTGTGTGTTTGAGAGAGAGACAGAGAGTTTGTGTGTGCGTGAGAGTAGTGGTGGCGCTATGTGGTATCGTTGAGGGCCCGGTTTGGTTTTTGTTTGGAATCAGGCCTGATGTTTAGTCTCCTCAGCAAATATCTCCTCTGCCCGCCTGCCCTTGCAATTACACTCCAACAGTGGATCCAGTTTAGCTGCTCTCCCACGTCTCTTCAGTTTATTTCAGATTGCTTCCCATTCGTAGAATATATTTTAGAGCAGTGTCGTCTCCTCCGATCTGTCCTCTGATAGTTTTGACTTTCATTAACACACATTTAACTCTCCTCTGACAAAGGAAGAACACATTTCTTCTCATACCTCTCTCTAATCTTATTTATCCCACTGTTTTGGTTTTAGTCTGAATCTCAATCTGAGAAACTGAAACTTTTCCGAAAGACAAGCCAACCACAGAAACAGTTTTGGTGCTTGTGGCCTGACTGACACATTTATTTATGCATGGTATCCTTTCATGTTTTTTTTTTGTCTGTACTTTCACATTGAGTGAGTGGATTGATGGAAGGATGGCGGCTGATTTGGCCTAGCTGGCTACGGCTCCCTTTTGGCAACGTCTAAAGTTGGACTTGGTGCTTTATTTCAAGCATTTTGTAATTAAAATCTGCCACATCTGTCAAAGCTCCTGAAGTGAAAAGTATCTCACAGGATTTTCTGAATGCGAGGGCAGATTTTAATGGGAGCTAAACAGGAGTAGGGAAACATTTAGCTTTTTCTGTCTATTAATTGATTTTGTGACCAAAAGTAGAGCAACAGACCATAAACACAAACATATGTTTCATCTTAGTTTTTTGTTTTTTTTATTTGTTAGATGACAGTTGACAAGGAGATCTGTAAGCGTTCAGCTTTGTGAAACTTTTTCTTTTCTGAATAATTCGACTTTCAGCACTGGCAGCGTTTGTCAGACGTGATGAGTGTGTGTGTGTCCTCTGTGATATGGCCATGGGTTGTTTTTTTGGCTGTTCTGTGGGTAACCTTGAAATAATTGTGGACAGACTTTAAAGGCAAACTGTGTGTGTGTGTGTGTGTGTGTGTGTGTGTGTGTGTGTGTGTGTGT